GATCTTTCCACCACGAGCGTAGGGAGCGAGCAGATCCACGACCTTGATACCAGTGACTAGTATTTCGGCAGAGGTGGACTGGTCAGTGAAAGAAGGCGGCTCCGCATGAATAGGTAAGAACGTGTCTGTCTTGATGGGTCCGCGCTCATCGATTGGGTCCCCAGTGACGTTCATGATACGACCCAGTGTGGCACGGCCCACGGGGATGGTAATGGGGGCACCAGTATCTGTTGCCTTAGCGCCGCGGACGAGGCCCTCAGTACCTATGACAAGTTATGATTGGGCCAGTCTTGAGGTAAGGAAGGGGAACTGATCAAACGACTTGAAGTAACGCACCATCCATGGCGATGCAGCGGACCACATTCTGACCGAGATGCTGCTGAAGTTTGAGTTAGCGATATTACGCCCACCAGTTGCCTCTGGTTACTCCACTTACGGCGACTTCGAGCACAAGCTTCTGGCCATTATTGTCCGTCTCAAGAGAGTTCAGGATGGCAGGCAACTTGGCACCATAAAATTTGACTGAGATAAAATTAGCCGGGCAAATCTAATGTGGTAAAGGGCTCGTGTGAGCCAGATCAGAAAGTTGTCACTAACCGTCTACGACAGCACCGATGACCTGTGTGATTGTTCTCATTAGTAAACCCGCCCGGCCGGAAGTGTCATTTCCCGACGCACCTGGTGAATCTTGCCACTTCCAGCACCGATGGTAGACGCAAACCGGTCGTTGAAGGAGGTTCGGAGAGACGAAGTCTTGACAGCCAGCCGTCTGCCCGTGGCTGCGCAGGACCGTTGGGCTACTCTAGAGAAGGAGGACATGCTGTTGCCGAGAAGTCAGAGAGAATGAATATCATGCGTTTCACGATCGTAAGGGCTGTTTCTGCAGTAAATGCGGTACCAGCTGATTGTGGGTTTTCGAGCGTAATTAAGAGTTCCTTTTGGTATAGGAAGACCAAAGTGATTTAGCTTGGATAAGAGACGGCGTCAGGAATATCGTGAGATTGTAGCCCGTTGTCTGAATGTAGTGGTAGGTAGAAAGTTAGAGTGACGGCTAGCGCACAAGAGAACGTCAAGAACCTAATTGTCACCTCCATCATTAGTGGCACACATCGTTGCTCTAATCTGTACGGATTACAGAGGGTGGCGATAAGCATTTGGCCGTATCTTGTCGAGTCTAACCTGAGTAGGAGATGTAAAAGCACTGCTGCTATAACGTTGTAACCCAAATTACGAAAGTGGACGTACAGTGTAACTAATACGTCGGACTTAAATAACCCTTGCCCTTAAAAAACTTAAAGCAGCCGGTCGTAGCTAACCGGAATAGGCTACTGTTTCCCCTTTCCCAAAACAGGTAGGTTGAGGAACGGTGCAGGATACGCTTACCGTTCAGAGAGGCCAATAATTCGTGGCGTCCTACATTAACGAATACTCGGTACTTGTAAGGGGATTGCTTTCGCCACTCTGTTTCTATCGATTTACAATCAAATCAAGATCGCACTAGCAAGTAGAAAAGTGTGGCAAACCCGGTCGGAGAGAACTTCCGAATCAATGATATTCGGCAGTTGAGATAGCCCACTAGGTAATGATGGCCAAGCTACAGCCGTCAACTACCGTCTTAAATCCAGCTCCATTGATCGCAATCAAGGGCTATGCTGTAGTTGGTCAGGAGGTCAGTAGCTGTGCCAAAAAGTGGGCGCCCCACCATGGATGGGCAGCAGGCCATGGGAACTCCCGCTCCGATTGGTTCTCCACTGAGGCGCAGTAAGTGGCTTACTGTTCTGCCGTGACGCCGTGCACCTGTTGCTTGGCATCGCGATTTTGAACGTTTTCTAGGCTGGCAGGTTCCTCTCCGCTACGTACGCGTATCCTACTCGGAGCTTCACCCTTAGCATGTCGGAGCATCTATATATACGTAGCGGTGGCGAACTTGTACCGCCTAACAGCCGTCAAAAAGAAAGGCAAAACGGCGGGTCCATCAACTGGCAACAACCATTTAACAGCTTGGGTATCCGAGACCGAGAGAGGGAGGTTCCCGGCGAAACATGTGGGTCTGGGAATCATTCTAGCAACGCCTGCGAGCAAGAAGACCTGGCTTCCGGGCTATGGGTATTCCAGGAATGACTCACAAGGCTGCCGCTCGAATTACCCGCTGAGGCGAACACAAGTATATATTTTCAGATACTGTATTATACCGGTACCAACCCATTCTGCTTTTAAAATTTACAGTCAACCTGAAAAAGGGGGAGGGGACGCTTCCCTCATACAACCAAACACACTCTAAAGTTTCGATAACTCGCCCTGTCAGCACCACTGTTAATTGAGAGAAGCTACGGCAATACTCTATAAGGCCGAAGTTTATCATGCCGAGTGGAAAATCTCAAAATGCCCACAGCACGTCTGTTCATGGCACCATAGCTGCGTTCCTCAGTCTCACCAGGTAACATTTCTACCAAACTGGACTTAACAGAAAGGCCGTCGTCATTGGAGATTGTGTCTGTGCTCACTAAAGGACGCACTCTTGTGCACGAAAAAAAATGTTTACGCACTGGACGTAACCACAATGTGCAGTGTGGCGCCTGGCTGCTAGCTACAACGGGCTTGGCGTGTGACCTCCACGGAGAATCAGGCGTCATCGTAGGTGTAGAAGACTACGTAGTCCACCAGGCTGGAACAAGTAGGTAAATATCTGGTCCGCATCCTCACCCATATCTCATGAATTTTTGGTTGTCGTTCCTGAGAGTCGTGGGGTCCAATGACCCATTTTCTGTGCATATTCATGGAGAGCTATAAATAGAAAGTTATAGCCGGGGCGGTGTTTTGGGTGTTGTGCACGTAAATAACCTAGGTGGGTGTGCGGTACAAGGGCAGGAGCAAGGTAGAATGCAACTTGGATGAGATGACTGTTCACAAAGAGAAAAGGAGAGTATCAGAAGGAAAGCTCTCGCAAGAACCTATTTACACAAAATCAAGGTGGGGCATTCAACTAGACGCGATTCTCTCGCAAGAAGACCAATGACAATCAAAAACTGATTGAGAAAATTGCGCCTCTGTGTCAATTCTGACTACCAGTTCAAGGGATCTGATATTACCATCACCATTCCCCGGCAGTATACTTCGCCCTCATAATAGCCCATGTTTATAATTGTAGCCTCTGGTTCTCTCATCCACAGTCTATACCCATTTGGTCGCTAAGTGGCTGATCCCAGTGCGGAACCGTGTTGAATGCCGGGGCACTCGGTGGTCGACTTGTACGTCTCACCACAGCTGCACCACCCAAGTTTTGCCTCTCTCAACCCATTCTTTCTTTTCCTTCCAGGCCTTTCCAGGTATATCCACCTGAGGAAATGATTTACTGCCGTCGCTGCTGAGTACACTAAACAGTGCTTCGTAAGCTCGTATTAGTCCGCTAGCTTGGCCCATGCAGCCTCCATGGCTTGATTGTGACGGACAGGTGCACGATCAAGGTCGAGTACGACTTGGACGAATTGATTGTTCACAAAGAGAAAGGAGAGAGTTCGCAAGAAAAACTCTCCTGAAGCTATTTACATATATTGAGGTTAGATATTCGTCAAAGCGTTATGTCACATGATTCCTTCACATTGGTGGGGACTAGTAGTTGTCTCGCTAGCAGCTTCAACGTGGTGCAGCAGTGGGCAGGACATCAGAAATGGAAGAAGTTGCTGCACTTGCATTTACCAGTGTAGCATTGTAAGTAGCTCCAATATTTGTATATCTAACAAAATGTATGTAGACGAGATGCGACACCGTTACTGGGGACGAGTTTGACAACCACATGACCTCGGTTAACAAGCCCAGAGCGAGACTGGTAGAAAGCCATGCACGACGGGTTCACGGATGGAAGCTCTCAGAATATGGCATCTCATTTGAGTCTTGGTTGAATATGTTGTCTGTGGCTGCGTGCCAGAGTGAATAACTTGATCCAGGATCAAGGGAAGTCTTTGAGCCATCTATTCATGTACATGTTAGTATTGTGTCTCCAATATAGGCTGTGAAATCGGCTCACCATTTATTGCTACGTCTGTCGCAGGTAACTGGTACAGCGGGCCGATGGAAACCGCAGTTGCAGATACACTTCCGCCAATTGCTGGTGATGACCATGTCCCGTGGGTGGTGCTCATGCGGCGCACAAAGCTGTCCGCCTCGTTCTGGAGCCAGATGTCGATGTTGGTATTGTCGCATCCGGCGTGCGCCATGACAAGGTCCTTAAGCTGAGCAATCTCTTCTATTATCTCCTCGGCTTCGACATGCAAATGTTTACACCGCTCCTCGAGCTCTATCTTTTCACGTTCCAGGCCCTCTTGCCACTGCCTTTTGCGCTGGCGGCACTTGGAGGCGGCGGCGCAGTTGCGCTCGAGGTTGTGCCTGCGACGTTTTTCTGCAGTACCGCCGCCCGTTTTTCTTGACTTGGCTGGCATATCTTTTGCTGCTAAGACGCTTTTTGAGTTTGATGATGTTACGGCGTGCGTCTTGACCTTTTTGCTTCTAGCGTTGTGTTTGTTTGCTGCTGAGAAGCTGTCGCTCTGGTAGGCATCGCCGTCGTCGTCATCGTTGCCATCCAATTCGCTGTCGGCCATTGATAACCGCATCACTGCAGAGGCATGTGTTGTGCGAAAGGTACTGTCTTCTTTAACGCTACGCTGCTGGAGCAGTGCGTCTGCGTCAGCGAGGTACTTGTCACCATTGAGCATGGTGGATGGAATGTGGCGTGACGTTCACAGCTCTAATAAGAGCGCAAAACATGAATTAGTGCGGGAGGGTCAAGCAACATATGGGCCAGGGCAGAGTAATGGTGGAAGCATCTAAACCTGCTCGAATGGTGAGACAGAGTCTACCGCGAGCTTCTAGGGCATGTAATATAGTTATATGTCATTTTACAAATTGACACAAAACGACCACATGACAAATCAGAAGGAAAACAGGGGGATGTGTATTTGTTCCCCTCACTTATCTTTGGGACGGCTGAGCCGAGTGAGCTAGCTAAATCGGCGTTCACATCCGCCGCCTTCAGCTCACAGCAATGTACAGAAGCGTAGAACCGTAAAAGCTTGGCTAACGGGAACCTTTTTTTTAGGCGGCATATGTATTTGTGCTACTCAGTGATGAAGGGCGATTTACAGGTACTCTCTACCTGTGGTAAGTTACACGGATTTTGGCAGCCACTGGATCCTGCGGCCCGACCGATCTTTAGCATCGCTGGCATCATATTTGCTTCAAGCCGCCCCACAAAGAAAAGTTCAGACATGCATAAGAAGCCGCTTCTCCTTTTCTTGTTTTGGTGGCGTTTGTTCAGCACGAGTTCGCCACTGCCGCGTATCATTGCACACTTTTACACCCCTCTTTCCTTTTGCCTAGTGAGGGAAAGTAGCACGTCCCCTGGGCTGTCGCGGCGGAATTGTACCCACATGTATAATCTTAACAGAGAGGCAAAACATGAAGAGTTGGATTTAAAGCGGTATCACTAAGGGAGTTCCCGGTAGACTTGATAGAGGAAGACAACGAGGAGGCGGAAATTGATACTTAATAAAGACAGCGAGACTTGACATCGGATTCTTAATTAGTTGCATAGTAATGAAAGATGAGGTCATTTTCTATATCCATCTGTATGGAATAAGTTTCAATACGACCAAAGTTTCGTAATTCATATATAAATCGTTCTATTAATATATGGTATGTGTATGGATAGAAAGCCTGCCGCAAATGGTGTCGAAGACGGTGTGGAGGTCTTCAGCGGGAGAGTTGACGAGATCATCCTTGTGTTTGACATGTCCGCTGGAGATTGTCTCGCCAGCGACCTTGGAGTAGCCGGGTGATCCAGTGAATGGGGGGTTGTGCACCTTGTACAGCGACATGATTCCAGTTGTATAGGCCATGGTACGAAATTGAGGTAGGGACCAGAGAACCAGCGTGGAAGATATGGTAAGGAGCAGAGGGAGCAGAGGGAGCAGCGCAGAAAGTCGCAGCTACCTAAGTCGCAGCTACCTAAGTCGCAGCTACCTAAGTCGCAGCTACCTAAGTCGCAGCTACCTAAGTCGCAGCTACCTAAGTCGCAGCTACCTAAGTCGCAGCTACCTCAGTTGAAACGCGATACCAAAAGCGGATAATAGGTGCAGGTAAAGAAAACAGACTTTCCACCAGCTAACTTACCGTCCCTCATGATGCTTCTATCTCCAGCTTTGCATTTTCAGCTGGTGGATTGGCAACAGCGCACGGTGATCGGATTTGCAGGTTATTAATCGATGTCTGTCTGCCAATATAGTAAAGAAATAGCCATCGATGACGTTCCCTGCCCTCTGGAATGACGACATGACCACAGCTAGCCATGGCCATCATTTCCTAATTCAGCCGAGTACTTAAGTATCTAGCCGGTCGTGCTTGAACGGCGGAGAGGATGCTGGAGAGCATCCCCGCCTCGAGAGCGAGTTTGCGCGCGGCCCATATCGGGTCGTCGTCCCAGAGGCCGGCGGCTCTAAGGACTTCGCTGCGCGACGAGGCCGGCACATCCAGCGGAGGGAGCGTAGCCGGACGGCACGCTTAGCCTGTTCTTAGCAAGCTTGCTTTGAACATCTTCGGCACGCCAGCGGTGAGCGCATAGCCAGAGCGGATGTTTTCAGATGGTGGTGAGCTCATCACTGACAAGCGCAATGGCCTCGGTGATGACACAGTTGAAGCCGAGATGATACAGAAGAATTGGATTAATTCAAAGAGTTTGAGGGAGATTGCGACACCGCAAGGTCTGTACGAATTACCTAAATAGGCATAGCATATCAAGTACTCGACAAGCTGTCAATCGAGTTGGGGTACCCTGCAAGTTCGAGGGCTGAAATTGAGCTTGTCTGATTGCTAGCCACACTGAAATTTATCTTGGTGACGTAGCGTTTCCCTAGCCATCCGATTATTGACAAATTGACATCTGGTTTCAAGGTGGCAATCAACGCAATCTATTCGACCTCAGCCATCGATTGAG